TGAATTTATCAGGGCGTCACCTAAGGTCCATGGACTTTAAAAACATATTTCTAAGTTCTTAAACTTATTAAGTGGTGCACATCAGGGATCGGTATGGTCCAGAAATAGATATGAGGTGCTATTTTATAAGTTTAGAGATGTGCGGCGCACAAATTAGCACGTTTAAAGATTTAGAAATGTGTTTCAAAGTTTGTGGACTTAAGTGATACCCTTGACAAGTTTAGGTGCCTCTTATGATTATAACTTTTCTTTTTATATCTTTATTATGTATATAGTACCATGGCGTGTTGGTTTCTCATGTAGCAATAGACTGGATTTGGGCATGTAATAACTGGAGTGTCTGGGAACACTTGTATGGATCTCTCGAGAAAATTGCATACCGTGAATCAGGGGTGCAGTTCTCGCACCCTGTCCAGCTCTCTCTTTCTTTTTGCAGCGTCCCTCCTCGTCTTGTCTTGGGTGCTCTAAATTGTAGGTGTATTTTCATTTGGTATGAATGGAAATGGGGAAAATCCCCAATTAAAAAACAAAAGGTGAAGAAGGCATTTTAGTACCACATTGATCTAGTTGATACAATTGATGTTGCATATGAATAGAGCACCATCAAAAACCAAAGCCAGAATATAGTCGTATGCCGAATTCGTCAACCAATTCCAAAACCTTGGACGTGCTATAAGATTTGACATCCAGGACCGTACTGAAACACATCTGAATCGAGAAACAACATCCACAATTAAATCGTGGTGTACAATATAGGCTGTAAAATCACCGCTACCAACTCTTGATCAATCAAGTTACGCGCCTGATTTTTTCATGTCTTAGATTGATAACCTAGAATTAATTTTTTCATGAGAAGTGCCCATGACCACCCTTGATTTTACAGATAGTAGCCATAAACTGACCTCCTAACCCACTCCCGCAATGGCAATCTTGTCATGGCTATCGGTGAAATCATGGCAGGTAACTAACTCGCAGTCGAATATTAATAATAGTGTTTATTGATAAATTTATTTGGACTAAATTTAAACAAACTAAACAAAAAAAATTGCTTGTAGACGAGGGATGTCCTGGCAGAGGCGGTGGTGGCTTGGAGCCTGCTCTTATTATGGTTTGATTTGGCATGAACCACGGCATGGGCGCTCGCGTGCATGTGGCACTTGAAAAAACTGCTCGATCGTAACGCCACCGCACATGCCTGGTGCTGCCGCTATCCTGAAAGGACGGATCGGGCGGGATTGGGTTGGCAGCTGACGGGCAGGACCGCAGATCAGATGGACGAGAGACTGCGACCACCCTGACCCTGACCCTGACCCTGACCCTGACCCTGACCGTGACCCTGACCCTGATCCTGATCCTGATCCTGCCGGTAGTCGCTGCGTGGAACACTAGTGATCTCAATTAAAGATGGCAACGGAAAAAAAAAAACCACGTACCCGCGGGCATCCGACCCGGTGGGCGCGGATACGGGCGCAAACCTGTGTCCGCGGGCACGGGCGCGGGCATAGAGTTGTGCCCAGCGGGCAAAGGTAAATGGGTAAAAAAAAAGAGCATGCCCGCATCCGCAAACCCGCAAAACCCGCACTGACATGTGGGGCCACTGCATAAGAGCTATATAACCTTCAGATTCTAGGGTTTCAGTTCACTCATCCGTCATCCCAAATTCCCAATCCCATCCCAAGTTGCGCCTCCGGAGTCTGGCCTCCCCATCGGCGTCGCGCCTCCCCAGACCGTAGCGGTAGGCGGCTGGCATCGCACCTCTGGGCTCCGGCCTCCCCAGCGTCATCGCTCCTCCACTCCAGCCTCCCTCAGACGGTCAGACCCCTAGCCCCCAGTTCCCCATGGCGGCCGCCCTCTCCCCTTCGACGCCGGTCGCCGGACACCGGCCTCCCCGCACCGAGCCACCAAGGCTCCTTCGTCGGCCGCCGTCCTCCCCGCTCCGAGGCTCCGACGCCGCCCGCCATCCTCCTTGCTCCGAAGCTCCGACCCAGGCCTCCCCCCTCCAACGCTGGTCGCCAAACACCGGCCTCCCTGCACCGAGGCTCCTTTGCTGGCCGCCGTCCTCCCCGCTCTGAGGCTCCGATGCCGGCTGCCATCCTCCCTGCTCCGAAGCTCCGACCCAGGCCACCATCCCCGCCGCACAGGCTGCCATCTCCGTCCCGCAGGCCGCCGCCGTCTTCCCCGACGAGCAACTTCAAAGGCAAGTTCACTTGTTCTTGATGCCTCCCAGTAGATCTTGTGCTTTTTGGTGCTTGTCTTCATATTGTAGATCTGCCCAGTCTATTGGAGTAACAAATCAAGTGATAATTTAATACATAATGTGATGTGCAGCTACAATGGCGACCCCTGGTAGCTCCCAAGTGCAAACCTCCCATGCAACTGTTGCAGTTGGTACTGAGGAGGACAAACCCGTGGATGTTGTGAACGTATCAGAGGGGGAGGAGGACTAGGATGATGGTGGGCGGCCTTCAAAGAGAAAGCTCACCTCTGTAGTCTGGAATAACTTTGAAAAAGTGCGTGTTGATGGAGTTTGGAAGGCCAAGTGGAACCACTGCAACAAGAAGCTTTCAGCCACATCAAGAAATGGTACAACTCACTTGAAACTCATTTGAAAACTTGTCCCTACAATAACAAGAAGGCAGGAACAAAAGTTCAAACTAATTTGAGGTTTGGAACCACTGAAAAGGGGGCAGTAGCTGTAGAAAGCTATGTGTTTGATCAAGATGTAGCTAGAAAAGCTCTTTATTTCATGATTATACTACATGAGTACCCGTTGTCCATTGTTGATCACCATGGCTTTCGTAAATTTGTTAGTGCATTACAACCTTTGTTCAAAATGGCAACTAGAAACACTATTAGAAGGGACATCGTGAGTTTCTATGAGGGAGAGAAAAGGAAAGCTAGGATATTCTTGCAATGGACAAATTATCGTGTTGCTATCACAACTGACCTTTGGATAGCTGAAAATCAAAAGAGAGGCTATATGGCAGTGACTGAACATTTTATTGATGACTCATGGACGCTTAGAAGCTGCATATTGAGGTGAATATCTTAAATCTGCTTGCTTTCCAGATTGTATAATTATGTTAATTATGTCCAGCTAAATTATTGCTTGCTGTCCAGGACATTTTATGAACTGTCCAGCTGAATTATTGCATTGTTTGATGTAGGTTTATGTATGTGCCATGCCCCCATACAAGAGAGGTTATTTGTGACGCATTGCATAAATGCCTCCGGAGTTGGGATCTTGATCGGAGGGTATCAACTGTGACTCTTGACAATTGCAGTGCTAATGATAACATGATTGGCTTAATGGACATAAGGCTTGGGGCGGCTAATATGCTATTGAAAGGAAAATGGCTGCACATGCGGTGCTCTGCACATATTCTCAACCTCATTGTGAAAGATGGCATGGTAGTAATTGGAACTGCGGTTGCGCACATCCGAGAAAGTGTTGCTTATTGGATTGCTACTCCAAAAAAGTATGAAAAGTTTGAGAAAACTGCTCTAGATGAAAATGTTGAATTGGACAAGAAGTTGCATTTAGACTGCAAAACTAGATGGAACTCAACCTACATCATGCTTAGCATTGCTATACCTTATAGGAAGGTTTTTGAACGTTTGGGTGAGCTCGATAGGAACTATGATTGTCCAGCAGCAGATGATTGGACATTTGCTACTAATGTTTGTGAGAAATTATGGTTATTCTATGAGCTTACTGAGATATTTTCTGGAACAAAATATGTTACAGCTAACATATTCTTCCCTAAAGTATGTGAGATTAAACTTAAACTCAACTCTTGGGGTCATGATGAAAATGAAACTATTAGGAACATGTCTGTTGCCATGATAGAAAAGTATGATAAGTATTGGGCTGACATCCATGGTCTTATGGCTGTTGCTGTTATTCTTGATCCACGTCTTAAGATGACAATGTTACATGCTTTCTATATTGCCCTTTTTGGAGAAGAGGCTGCTAGAAAATATGTTACAGAGGCCCAGGAATTGTTTACTGGTTTAATGAAACATTATCATGTGAAAGAACAAGAGTCTGTGGCTACATCCTCTGGTGGTGCCCCTTCTATAGTTAGTGCAGCTGCTGTGTTGCCCGTATTTAAAACCCTTGCTGCAAATAAGAAGACTACAAGCTTTGTTAGAAATAAGAATGAGCTTGATCGCTACTTGGAAGAGGAAACTCTTCCTCATGATAAGAATGATTATTTCGATATCCTTGGCTGGAGGAAGTTGGAGGGAGCTCGTTATCCTGCTTTGAGGCTAATTGCTCGTGACATTTTGGCTATTCCAATCACCACAGTAGCTTCTGAATCGGCTTTCAGTAGTAGTGGGAGGGTTTTAAGTGAGTATCGCAGTCGTCTTACTCCTAAAATGTTGGAAGCTTTAATGTGCAGCCAAAGTTGGCTTCGTCACAATCTCAAAGGTATAAAAATGTGCATTTACAATGAATTCTTTTCATTAATACATGGACTGTATACTGCAGCTACTAATGTTTGAACTTTGAATGTAGATGAGGGTGATGCAAGGTTCAATAGCTTTTGGTCATGGCTTGAAGACAATGAAGAAGATCTGAAAGATGAATCTTGCATCACCGGCTAATTACTTGTTCATGTCTTGTTTATTTGCATCACTTGGAAGACTTTGCAGTTGAACAATGTGTACTTGTATGGTAGGCCTGTATTATTGAATGTGTGGACCGTGGTGAACTATTGAACTGTGCTGTGTGATTTGTGATTGTGATTTATGATCTATTTATACTTTTGTCATTCTGTGTTAGCTGTTACATACTTATGTTAAATGTCATCTATTTATACTTTTGGCGGGTATGCGGGCATGCCCGTGGGGAAAACATGCCTGTGGATAGCGGGTGCGGGCGCATAGTGCTGACTGTGGCGGGTGGCGGGCGTGGGCACAGATATATTGTCGCGGGTGCGGATTTGTGATTTCTATACCCGCGTGGATTTTACGTGTTGCCATTTTTAATCTCGTTATGAGCATGGAGCACGCGGCGTGGCGCGCAGCACGAGCTTGGACTTCCTCTTCACGGTGATACCGAACGCCTCACTCATGTCCAGCACCTTCCCGTCGCCGTCCGACAGCGTCCAGTCGAAGTGGTAGAGGAGGCCCGCGAGCGCCAGCTCCATGTTGACGAGCCCCAGCGCCATGCCAGGGCACATCCGCCTGCCAGCGCCGAACGGGATGAACTCGAAGTCGGTGCCTCTGAAGTAGACGCCGCCGGTCCCCTCGAACCGCTGCGGTCGGAACACCTCGGTGTCGTCCCAGTACGCGGCGTCCCTGGCGATCGCCCACGCGCTGACCAGCACCTTGGTTCCCCGGGGCACGTCGTAGCCCATCACCCGGCACGCCTCGCGGCACTCCCGAGGCAGCAGGAACGGCACGGGCACGTGCAGCCGCAGCGTCTCCTTCACCACCAGCGGCAGGTACCTCAGCCTCGCCGTGTCGGCCTCGGTGAGCCTCTGCTGCCCCCTGAAGGCCTCCCGCACCTCGGCCTGAGCCCTGCGCATCGCCCGCGGGTTCCTCGTCAGCTCCGACAGCGCCAGGTTGAAGCCGGAGGTGAGCACCACGGCCCTGTGGAGCTCGCGCAGGAACTCGTCCCGCCGCGCGCACCGCCCGCCGACGGCCGACCGCACCACGGTGTCGTTCATGGCGCGGCACACCCGCTCGCCGATGTCCACCACCGCGCTGCCGCCGTGCCCGGCAGCGCAGGAGTAGGCCACGGAACGCAAGAGCCTCCCAGCCTCCTCCTCCCGGATGCGGCGGAACGACTGCGCGCGGTGGGCCGAGAAGAGCTCCAGCACGCAGATCGCCGTAGGGTGAGAAGAGGATGTCGCGCCCCCCGATGCTGAACACGTCCAGCGTCGGCGTCAGGTGCAGGAGGCCGCCGTGGCGCGACAAGAGGAGGTGGTGCAGGCTGCCGATATCACCGGCAGGTGCCATGGACCCGGCGGCAGGCGCAGCGGCGGCTTCCCGGGCTGCGACAGTGACGCCGCCGGGAAGTACTTCTTGTCAACGACAACGAGCTTGATGAGGAGCACGAGGAGTAGGCCAAGCAGCAGCAGCGAAGTGTTTTGTTTCAGCATCCACTGTTGTCCAAACATCAAAAGCATCCACTGGAGACCGCCATCCGGATTCCGACACGCTGCGACATCCACCTTGTCCTATTTATTTATTGCGTCACCGTCCAATCTTTTTTCTTCCGTACTACGTAGATTTGGTTGCCTACAGATATCCTGTCTAGTTGATCGTACTGGGGAAGGATCGAAAGGACCTCACACGAGCTAGCGAGAACTTCGGTTTCACCGTCTAAGAGGAAGTCTAAGCTCGTACTAGACATTACACCACGCGTTCCATGTGCATACTGACGTTCCATGTCTCATATAACTTTTGCCTGCAATTGCGCAAATCCCAAGAGTTACCAGGTCGAGTGTATGTACCTTGAAAGTGTCCAACGAAGGCTGAGCTGAGGTCGGCCCAACTCCGGATGCTTCCCAGGTCGAGCGGCTTGAGCCATGCCCTCACCGAGCTTGATAGGAGCTAGGGCAGGTAATGGACTGCGAAGTCGTTGTCCGACCCCGTAGCCCTCATCGTGAGCAGGTAGTCATTGAGCCAGTGGTTGAGGTCGGTCTCCCTATCGTACTTGCTGATGTGGGTGGACGGTCAGAAGAGCTTGGGGTACCGAGTTGGGCCCCGAACGCCTAGGGCCGAATCGGTCCTGGCTCGGGCACCCCTCTTGTCGGTCGGGGCTCAGCGACTTGGCCTAGGCGTAGCGCCTTGCCTCGATGGCAGATTTTCAAGGGAATTGGAGCGTTATTTCTGTAGCTGCAGAAGTTGAGCAAGAAAGTGCCGCCACTCAATTTCGGGCTAGGTCCGCCCCTGCGTTGCGGGCTGCGCTTGAGAAGGAAGATGGTGAAAAGCGAGAAAATCTTAGAGAGGCGGCACTGATGACACAAGATGGAGGAAGGGGGATGAGAGTGATGGGCGATGCTCTGGGAAAAAATTCTATGCATTGTGTCGCACCATGTTTTCCATGTGACACCGTCCGAATGAACACAACCTGACCACATGTTCTAGCAGCCGAATAACCAGACGAGCACTCAGGGCCTTGCTCTCCTCACGCAAGCGTGATCTGCTACTTGGACGAGATTTGCTTTTCAACATGAATACATCGGATCATTTGGACGGTGTCTCACGAGAAGCATGGTGCGACATTGTCGCTTAACATTTTCCTCGGTGTAGGTGTTGCAGTGCAAATGCAGGAAACAGGTTACTGGCTTGCAGAGTCGATGCTGCATGGAGTATGTGGGTCCGTGGGCGTGACCATTTTGACCAGTTTGGTGGATACAGGACCGGTGGGTGTTTTAAGAACGGTGTTGGCCTGTAGGGACCATGCAAAAAATATAACTGGACTTTACACTGCATGATGATATTATGCAAACAACCAATCACATCTATTATGTTCAAAGCAATAAAAAATAATCTATGGAAGAAAAAAAACTATTGGACAGTGACACAATATATACCTAATATTAAAGACCCAAAACTTCAGCCAATTTTTTTTATCCACCTCCCCCTAACTATCGGATAGTAAAGAGTTTTTTTTCCATATGCATTTATATGACTCGTGTTTATACGAGTTAGAATAGCTCGCCTTTGAGGATGGTTAATAAGGAGTCTAATTTTTTTTGACTAATATAGAGTCCGATTCTAAGACGTATTGAATCATACTCTTCATCGTATCGTATGTTGTAGACTCACGGGTTAGATTTCCAATATTAAAGAGAGTCGGATTCCTTTTTTTAGCTCTTCCGTATATCTAGGAGGTTATACGTCATGTTCGTTTGGGCTTGTTTGGTTGATAAGCTATGGCTGAAAGTACTGTTGGTTGATTTGGTGTGAGAGAAAAATACTGTTTGTTGGCTGAAAAAGTATGGCTTATAAGCCAAACAAATCTGTCGGTGTTTCAAGTAAACACCAACAAGTAAGTTTGTGTTATTGCGCGTCTGGCCCGGATGGTGTGCTAAAAAGACACAAGGTTTATATTGGTTCGGGCAGAATGTCCCTACGTCCAGTTCGTGACTACTGCTCGTGTTATTAGTACTAAAAAGTTCGTAGTAGGGGTTACAAACGGACGATAGAGGAACAAGTCTCAAATCTATGATGGAAAGGTCGAATGGGTGCTGAGAGCTTGGCTGCTGCTCAACCATGCGCTCGAGGTTCGATGCTAGCGGTTCTGCTGTGATGTGGTAAAAAATCGATCCCCTTAGTGGGGTGCTACGCTCTCCCTTTTATAGGCCAAGGGAGAGTGTGGATTACAGATAGGAGAAAAGAAGAAAACGAAAGGCAAAGGAAGTCCCTCAAGGATGTCAGGTCTTCCTTTTCCTCTCTGTGGCCCCCTGACATGGCAGGCGGTGATGGGGAGAGCCCCACACTGGGCGCATGTCTGTTGACCCTGACAAGGCCACACTGAGTGTCTGCCCGCTGATGATGCCATGTCCCGGTATTGTTAGTGGGTTGTCACGTCCCATCCCACCCCGACGAGCGGCGTGGCGGACCAACGTGCTGATCAACAGCCATACGGGGAGCAGGCAGCACCGTGAACGTAGATCCGTTACTGTGGATGATGTGAGTTTCCTTTTGGACCGTAGCGGTTGTCGTGAGCTCTCATAAGGATCTATGCCAGAGGGCAAATGACGGCGCCCACAACACTGTAATGGCAAATGTCGGCGTCTACAACACTGTTTGGACTCTGACATGCCTGGACGGTTGCAAAGCACCCCTCTAGCATGGCCTGACGATACTGTCCTACAGGTGTGCAAGGTATGATCCTCGGTACCACGGTTGACTTGAGCGTCTTGCCTTATCTGCTTCGCCTGATTCCTGGGTTGGTATCATGGTAATGTTGTCATAAACGTCGGGCGAGGCAGAGCCAGCCCTTGGACGTCGGGTGAGGTGGAGCCAGTCTTCTGACGTCGGACGAGAAGGAGCCAGCCCCTGGACTTCGGGCAAGGCGGAGCTAGCCCTCGGACATCGAGCGAGGCGGAGCCAGCCCTCGGACGTCGGGCGAGGCGGAGCTGACCCTCAGACGTCGGACGAGGCGGAGCCAACCCTCGGACGTCGGGCGAGGCGGAGCCGACCCTCGGACGTTGGGCAAGGCGGAGCTAGCCGTTGGACGTCGGGCGAGACAGAGCTGACCCTCGGACATCGGGCGAGGCGGGGCTAGCCCTTAGACATCGGGCGAGGTGGAGCCGGCTGTCGATGAAATTTGGTCGGCAGTCTACCGAGGGGTATACCCATGGTAGTAGATAAATCGGTGGGGGTGCGCATGATACGAACTAGATGGTAATACAAGCACCGAGACACAAGATTTAGACAGGTTCGGCCGTCAGTATGACATAATATCTACGTCATGTGTTCTGATGTATTGCATTGAGATGTATGTAGATGTTGACTAGGGGACCCCTGCCTCTCCTTATATACTCTGGAGGGGTAGGGTTATAAAAAAGTATCCTATTTGGTACTATACAATATCTTGCGGTGCATGTCGACCAGTGCCGTGCACGCCTTGATCTTGTGGGCTGGGCCACCTCTGATGGTGTGGCCCATGTCTTGTCTTATGGATACCGAGGGTCATATCCCCCATAGCTAGTCCTCGAGTGCCTTATATCCTTTGAGCAACATTGTCTTAAACAAGTCCGAGCACTTTGACGTGAAGCCGATCAGTTTAACTGGTGATCCGAGCAGTGGAAGTCGAAACCGACCAGTTTAACTGGTGACCTAGGCGGTGAAGGTCAAAGCCAACCAGTTTAACTGGTGACCTGGGCGGTGAAGGACAAAGCTGACCAGTTTATCTGGTGACCTGGGCGGTGAAAGTTAATGCCGAACAGTTTAACTAGTTAGGAGACCTCGGACTTAGCCAAGTAAGGCTTGCTAGAAGGATGTAAGGGGCTCAAGATAAAATTTGAAAATTCTTCCACTTAGGAAAAGTGTAGCCACTTAGACTCCATCAATAAGGAGGGTAAATCAAGAAATAAGCACTACATTCACCGCTAGGTGAAGTGTAGCCACTTAGTCCCCAAGCCTACTGAAAGATGAAGAATGAATCTTGTAGCAGGGTCAAAGAAAAGCTTGCCGATGTCATCTGACATGCGTGTATCAAGACCCCAGACGTACTGCCCAAGATTAGCACCCTGATTCGAACAGCATGGAGCAGCTTGATAGCACACCGATGAGATGTAGAAAGATCCAACCACCAAGAGAGTCCTCAGCTTAGCTGGCGATGCTTGCATGAAGAATCCAAATACTAAGGAGTCCCCAACATAGCTGGCGATGTCCGAGCACCGAGGAGTCCCCGGCGTAGCTGGCGATGTTCGAGCACCGAGGAGTTCCCGGCGTAGCTGGCGATGTCCGAGCACTGAGGAGTCCCCGGCGTAGCTGGCGGTGTCCGAGCACCAAGGAGTCCTCAGTGTAGCTGGCGATGAAGCACGAGCGACGAACAGTCCGGTCAACTGGTCGGCGGCGAAGTGAGCATTGAGTAGAAGCGACCGGCGAATAATCCGATCAACTGGTCGGCGACGAAGTCCATGAACCTAGTGGTTCGACCAGTTGATTGGTGGAGAATTCCAAGCACCAGGTGGTTCGAGCACCTGGATGATGATCCTGTAATACAAATATATAGAATGGGTAGTACATGATGTAAAAATATATGAACTCCGGAGAAGAATCAGCAATGGTGATGAAATAGCGTATGCAGCTCGATGATTAGTTGGTGTGAACACTTAGTGTTATTATGAAGATGTGTTTATATTTAATATAAACTACCCGACTAGTTAGTGTGTAGCTGAGTCACCAGCCCTAGCTAGCCCATTAACCATAACGCGGAGTGCGGAGCCCGTGTGCGTGTAGGAAGAACAAAGCGTCGCTAAGGAGCCAATGTCGAC